AAAAACAATTTTATTCTAATTATATTACTCTACTCTACTTGAATTACATACTACAATTGTACCTACTCTTCTATGAATTTTTTTTTTGGCCAAAAAATATATCATTCCATGCTCACATTTTGATGTTTATTACCATATTCCTATAATATCTATGATCTTTTGAATTTGAGTTCCTAGACCATCATTCTAGCATTTTTGCCTATGCTTTAATTTTATTATTATTATTTTTTGGTTAAAATATGGTTCAAGATAACAAGAGAGAGACTAACATGGTTATATCTAAACTAATCAAAGCATTAATAACTTATTTAAAGGTCATAAGCTTGAATTCACCCACATCCTTGTTGGGCTAAAAAGCCATGGATAATACTTTATTAATTATTAATATAATAAAATGTTTCCGAGTTAACACTATTTTTAAGTTGTCTCAAAAGTGGTTGGTTTAAAGGATTAATGTCTAAATTTATATAATATGAAACCGAGAAGCTTGAATTTGTATGGGTTGTGATTGAGTGGTGTTTGGGGAAGGGAATACCCTGGACACGTGGAGGACCCCTATTGGTGCTCCAAGATGGCTCATGAGTCATGCCCAGCTCGGATAGCCGAGATGGCCGCCACTCACGTCGACTAATGCTAAGTGTGAGGGCCGAGGTGAACCTGGCCCAGGTCCGACCTACCGAGGAGCTCGGTAGGGGCCGATGTGAGCAACTGTCAGCGGCGTGATTATCGGGCGTAACCGTCGGTCCTGAGATTACCGGGTGTAACTGACGGTCCCGAGATTATCGAATGCAACCGTCGCGAGATTAGCGGGACTACCACCCATAAGTAGAGGGCCTCACTCCACGATCAGGTACGAAGATTTCTGACCTCGAACTAAACTGGGAATCCGACTTATACTGACTTGATCGTCGGAGTACTCACCTTTTTGTGCAGGTCCGCCCAAGTATTCAGATCGATCCGGAGACCGAGTTCGAGCTGCAATCTGAAATACACTGTTGTGCATATCCTTGCATAAACAAGTGGGTAGAACAATAGATTATAAAAACTTGAGTCTATATAACACGTATTTGATTTGTGAGTTTGTGAAAATTTAAATAATTTATAAATTTTAACAAATTTATCTGAAAATATGGAAATGAAAAGAGGGAAAAAAGAGCATGTTTAATTGTTTATACATTCAATTGTTACAAGGCAGAGTGATTACAAAAGAAGTAGAAATTATAATACCAGATGTGACCAAAAAACCCAAATGAAGGATTGGTATTCCAAATTTGAGCCCTAGGGAAGAGAAATGGATTTAAACGGGAAGGACCTTCTTGACGATCTCGTCGCTGAGAGCGGCGATTTGGGCGTCGAGGGATTTAATGGTCTCCTCCTTCTGATTCTCCAAATTGGCCAACGCCTCCTGCAACTCCGCATCAATTCTCTTCCTGCCCTCCGCAAGCTTCTGCTCCACCTCCGCCTGAGTTTCCTTCTTCATCTTAGTAAGGGCGGCGGAAATCTCTGCCCTGGCTGCCCTCATGACGGCGGCGGCCTGCTCGTCCAGCTGCTTGACCTCCCCGGAGGTGTCCTTGACGCTGTTGAGCTTCTCCTTGATGGCGGCGTCTCTGTCGTCCATGAACTTGCCGAGAGGGGAGAAGTAGATCTTGTCGAGGGCGACCATGAGGAGCAGGAACTGGGCCATCATGATGGGGAGAGTGAGGTTGAAGTCGAACAGGGCGGCCTTCTCGATTTCCTCGGCGAGGGAAGGGGGCGCGAAGGAGAGCGATGTGGCGGCGAAGAGGGAGAGGGATTTGAGAGTGGAGGATGAGAGGGCCGCGAATTGGGGCTTTCTAAGGAGTAATTGGTTTAGGGTTTTGGGGAGGGGGAGAGCGAATTTTGGCTTGGTGGAGATGGAAGGTGGGGAGAGGGGCTTCGAAGAGGCCATGATCACGTTCGCCATGGCTACTGAGCTTGAGCTTGAGCTTTGAGTGAGATGCTAATGGCGGATCTGGAAGCAGAGTGTGGGAGCGGCAATGCGGTGGAGAAATCGGATGGAAAGGGGAAGACGCTCGTTGATTGGGGGTATCGTATCGCTATCTCATTCTTCGCCACACAAATTGATAAGGCTGTTCTGTGGCTCAGTGGTGGGAGGAAGAAATCTTCGGATGTTTTCGCACGTGATATGCGCGTGCGCTGGTTTCTTTTCAATGTGGGGTGGATTGGGCTGGGCCCCATTGTATCTTACTTGGGCTTCTTCTTACCTAAACTGCAAGGTATGGCCCTTTTTCCGACCCAATTATATTTATCATTCGTATTTCGCGATTTAGTAGATGTATCTTGTAATTCAAAATAATGAAATATAAATTATAATTTATTTACTTGTGCAATCGTAACATCTGACAGTTTGGCCGAGTGGTCTAAGGCGCCAGATTTAGGCTCTGGTCCGAAAGGGCGTGGGTTCAAATCCCACAGCTGTCATTTTTAATATTTTTATCCCACGACTGTCAGTGGATTGGGCCGGATCTTATCTTTCTCGGGCTTCTCCCGAAATTGCAAGATATGGCCTTTTTATCGGCCCAACTAATGTGATCCAAGGTACCTTTATTTACCTCTCTAATCTGTGATTTTAAATTATTCATTAATTTAATTTGACTAAACATTTATTTATTTCAACAATTCTGACAGTTTGGCCGAGTGGTCTAAGGCGCCAGATTTAGGCTCTGGTCCGAAAGGGCGTGGGTTCAAATCCCACAGCTATCAATTTTTATCCTTTTATCCCACGGCTGTTAGTGGATTGGACCGGATCTTATCTTTCTCGGGCCTTTTACCGAAATTGCAACACGGCCTTTTTATAAGCCCAACTAATGTGATCCAAGGTACATTTATTTACCTCTCTAATCTTTGATTTTAAATTATTCATGAATTATTCTTCAAAAAAGATTAATATCTATCTATCTATCTATCGTTTTATTAATCGTTTCAATTATTTTAGCAATTCTGACAGTTTTGACAGTGGTCTAAGGTGTCAGATTTGGACTCTAGTCCATGTCAATTATATATAACTATAATTTTATAGAATTACATATAACATTTTGAATATTAGAATTCATATTCTACTCGTCTGCAGATTTTCATTTTCTGTTTTTAGAATATCCTCTTATAAGTTATGTAAATCTCGTAATCTATTTTTAGTTTTGTATTTTTACAAAATATCTAATAAATAACACATGTTGGATTTTACAGAACGTGTATTAACAAATATTTGTTATTCGAATGGGAATGAATTTGGAATGACAACAAACGAGGTACTGTTTAAATAAAACTTGTACCACTTTTTTTCTATATCTGTTTTATATTATTAAAGGTAAATCCTTTGAATTGCCATTTTCTATGAACAGCCCTAAACTATTACTATAATTTATGAATAAGACCAAAATAATTGGCTCCATACTGCCATTTATTCTTTTCTTCTTTTTTTCCTACCAATATTTAGTAAGTAGGATGAATGATTAAAGTGATCAAAATTGTTCTCATTCTATGTATATATGTAATATCATTATTGTGCATTAAAAGACTTGAGTTTTTCAAGACAAGTTTGAATGACCATATTATTGGCACATGATCTCTTCTGTTACCTCTTCTTGTACTAAATTTGGCTAAAAACAAAATCTCAGTTTAGAGAATAATATTTCTTAAGTTTCAAGTAATCATTTTTTCGTTAATCTAAGATTACATTATTGGACAAGTGATTTGACTTGGTTAGAAGGATTTGTCATCCTAAAAGTACAAGATTGGTACTTTCCTACCTTAAGAATCCAGAAGACCAAATGATGTATTTAGCCTATGAAATGTCTTTAGGACAAAAATTTTTATAAAAAAAAAATATTGTGAACATATTCCACGTCGATTAGAAGGGGGAAAATTAATTTATGGCATATGAATCATAACGTCAGAATTATTTAGGATGAAATCAGAACCAAAGCTAGATGGACAATACTATGTTATCTCAACAATTTGAATTTATTAATTATAGAGAGGTAAAATAAAGTTTTAAAAGTTTCAATTTAGTACGTGGCTGATGTGATAATAAGTTGGTGTTGTTATTTTTTATTTAGTTTTTATGAAGTTCAATAAAAAAAAAACACTCAAAATCGATTCTATCTAAAACTAAACCAAACAAGAAGATCGGATCCCTAATAATCTTCAGATTCTTCACATCCTAGGCATGTTTAGCAATTACATGTGCAATTTTGTTAGCATCTCATCCAATCTTTGTTATTTTGACCGCACCAATGTCTTTCGTGAGAGTTTGTATTTCACCCACAGTCCATCAAATTTTTGTTAGATCCACTCTTTCGTGAAGCAATAGTCTTGCTAACTTCCCACGAATCAATTTTCAGATAAATTAGGTAGCGTACATAATTTCACGTCTTCTTCATCCTTTCCAACATCGTCATTACCTTCAATGTTTTGATATTTCTCTTTTCCTTGACAAAGTCGGTGTCGGCCTAGTTTTTGACTACTGAAGTTGAGGGAGAAACCACTTTGTTTTTAGGTATGGGTATGAGGAAGAAACCACTTTGTTTCTTTTTGTACATGTCTCTTAGTTGGTTTTTTACTCGGATTTTTTGGATTGCTATTTGTGTGAATGAAAATGTATTGAAGTTGTTCGATATTAAAGTTGTTGAGAATTTAAGTGCATTAATTGATTGCATTAGAGTTTAGTATTGAATGAAAAAAAGATTCAAAATTGTGTAGAGACGAGTAGAGAGATTTAAACAAATCACTTCTAAAATCACAAAGAAAAAAAAAGGCCCTAACTACAAAGAAGAACTAAATTGTGAAAATGAAAATAATTGGTCGGTTGGGTTGGTGGGGCCCTCCCTTTGCCCTCGCTCCCAGTCGCAGTCACTTAAAACTTTGAAATTTGAATGCTCCCCCCAATGGTACTCACGTGGACTTCACGAGCCCACCGTTTGATTCCCGCCACGTGACACCACCATTGCCGTGTCGAATATTTCAATTAAATTATTGTACCATACCCTAACTATTTTTTTTCCCGATTAATAACCGTAAAGTTTAGGTTCAAAAGAATTTAGGAGGCAAATTTGGGATGACATTTTGTAATAATCCGTCCAACAGTTACGTTCCCCATATAGGCAATGCAAGCCAAGAAAAAATTATTATGTTAGCCACTAAAATCTCACCCTTGTCAAAATTATTCCTGATCCCAATTAGAGACCACCGTTTTTGTTTTGTATTTTAGATGAATCCTGGTCATTCTTGCATTTCAACTCTCCTAAACTATATTTTTGGGTTTGAGTTAGGCCGTTGCACTCTTGCCTCACCTCTTAGTAAAGTAAGCCGACGAACAAGACTCCTAGGACGTTAGAGGTTGTTATGCTTGGTGGCCAATTCGAAGGGGTCGAAGTTCGACATAGAGCTTTTTGATGGTTAAGTTATAGCAGTATTGGTCGAGGTGAGAACTATGAGACTTTATGAACGATACCAAAAACAAAATCAGGAGAATAGAGAAAGTAATATAATTAAGACACGTGGGTGGTGGTCCTTTATCCTTTGACAAAAGCCATATTCATGCACTTGGCAACTAAAACAGAAACATTTGAGAGGTAGACGACAAAAATAAGGGATTAATACTGAAGAGGCACACGCCCCCTCGATCTGTATGATCTCCCATTGCCACCCTATTTCCCGACTCTCTGTAAATGCCTCTCCTTTTTGTTCCCTATATATATATCGCCCCATCTTCTGCTCCTTTTTCAACTCACTCTCTCTTTTCAATGGAGCTCCAACTTGGCCTCGCTCTTCCCCTTCACACTCAAACCCTCAAACCTAAGCCTAAGCCTAAGCCTGCTAATTCTCCACGCTCTACAAACCCCCTTTCCCACACATTGCCTTTGCCTTTGCTCTCTTGGAACCACAACCCCAACGACGAAGATGAACACAACAACCCCACACCCACACACTTCTCCACTCTTCACCAGTGAGTACAAACTTAACTAAACTAAACAACCCTCTTTTACATTACTTTTAAATTTTACGTTTTTACACGTTTTTAAAAGTTTCTGTTGTGAGGGACGTACAATATGTTCATTATATTGCATTGATGACATGATGATAGGGAGGATGAGGATGAAGACAAGAACCGGGTAGTGGGGTGGCCGCCCGTCGAGTCATGGAGGACCAAGGCGTTTCACTGCCGCCCTCACCTGCCGCCGCCGCCGCCGCCGCCGCTGAATTGCCGTCGTCCAGTAGCAGGACATCGCAGTTTGTTCGTGAAGGTGAAAATGGAGGGTGTTGCAATAACGAGGAAACTTGATCTCGGCCTCTATCACTCTCATAACTCCCTCAAAAATGCCATAATCTCCATGTTCGCTCCATGTAAATTACCAACTTTCAAAAGGGGTTCCCTTTAATTTTGTTCAATATTAATTTTACGTAATTAATACTAATAATTATTTGTTATAGCAGATCAAGGGATTGATCATAACAACGGTTGGGATTTTACGGTGATCTACGAAGACAAAGACGGTGATTGGCTTCTAGCAGAAGATCTTCCATGGAAGTGAGTTTTACAATTCTACTTAATTAGGGGAATATGAAATAAAGCAAAGGGCTAATTATTATTTTTATTTTTGCAGTTCCTTCGTGGAGTCTGTGCAACGTCTCAAGATACTGGTGCGGAAGAGAAACGAAGGAGAATGAAATTTACGTATATACCACCCGTATTATTTCCGACATTTTAGTATTTATATGAGAATATTTTACTTTTATAAGTGTCTGTATTATATAAAATGACATAATGTTTTTTTTTCCTTCTTAATTAGTATTAGGAAATGGAATCATGTATTCGGCTTCCCATAATATAATAGAAATATTTTTGTCTGGTAAAACTGTGGAGCTATGTGGTCGAAAATATTCTATCAAAAAGTTTATGTGGAATCATTCTCACTCTCTTTTTTCTTTCCGAAATATGTTAAAGTAAAACGAGAAGGAAAAAAAAAACTTCTTTTTCACTGCGATTAATTACTCTCTCATCTCTTCTTCTTATTTTCCGTTATTTAACTTTTTATTTTATTTTAAGCTTTAATTTCTCTTAACAAATTAATTGCTTCATCTCATCTCTCTCCATGCCCCAATTATAAAAATTGATTTTTTTCTCTTCTCTGAATAAAAATATTGAAGTTTCTAAAATTATAATGTGAAGATTTTTTTTTTATTTATAGATATATCATTGTTTTCCATTATAATTATGAATATTTATAAGGTTATTTTATTCAAAAATATATATTATTATGAATTACAATTCAATTTTATATACATGTAAAGCGTTATGTGTTGATATAAAACAAATTTAAGAATTCTAGACTTAAACAATTAAATACATAAATCTAATCTTAATTTCTGAGTGAAGAATATTTATTTTTTTAAAAGATTATTGTTTTCTTTTATCCATATTTAAATAATGGTAGTTACATATATATGATTTTCAACGTGTGATTTCTATTAGTAGTTTATAATTTTAAGCCAACAAATTTTTAATTAAAATAATATATTTGATTTTCAAATTAATAATATTCCAAGTAACAAAAATATAAATTGTATTTTATTTTCAATTAGTAAAATAAATAATATTTAAATTAAATTAACTATATTAAATAAAATGTTTAATTTTTTTTTTTTTTGGGGGAGGGGGTAAGATGAGGTGCAGCGACTGTGACCGTTGAGGCGTTGAGTGGTTGTTTTGGGCCCCAGGACCATTAGGAATGTTGGAGAAAGTGAGGAATTAGTAGGGCCGGAGGAAAGCCAGCCCATCACCTAAAATTTCCTGTTGGGTTGAGAACGACATTTCAGTGGGTGTTAACCATCGCAAGCCTGCGATGTGAATGTAATACCGACCAATTTTCAACGTTACATCGTCGCCTAAACGTTGTTTCATTCGACATGTCGTCCCTCCCGATGCTATGGATTGTTTGTTTCATATCGATAATTATTGAATAATAATTACATGCAACTTGCCAAGTGGTTGGATTTTTTCCTTTTATTATAATTTAAAATTATGTCAGAAGTAAAAATTTCAACCAACAATATTTTGATTAAAATATCAATTAAAAATGAGATAATGTCTTCGTACAGCTGTTTTAGAAATTTGTTTACACAAAAATCTAAAATTTTCTAATTTTACACTTTTAGATTTCTGCATTTTAATTTCGATTTTACTCTTATTTATTGCGTTTATATTTATTATAATGAGTCTTTTATTTAAATGCAAAAGATTAATATTCCAAATTTGATTTTGTAAACATTAAATAATTGTGGTACCTAAATCAATCTTTCTCATAATCCCTCAATTTACTTCCTAATATATTATATTAAAGAAAATTTATTACAAAATATTCAATTATTATGATAATCCCCAAATTTACTCCTTAATATATTCTACTAAATAATGAAATTTATTACAACATATTTTTTATTTCATTACAATTTTTGACCAAATTTCAATAATATAGTCATTATAACATACACTTATATGGAGATATAAACTATATCTGACTATCTTTTTATTTATATGGAAATATAAACTATATCTGACTATAAACTTAAGCAACATACAATTAACAATGGTGATATAAACTATAGTCATTATAACATACACTTATATGTCTTATGGAGACATAACCTATATCTGGCTATAAAGTATATACAACTATATTCATCTACAATTAACAAACAAAGCAAATAACATACAAACTTTCTGGTCGGCAACTAGACAATGGTCGGGATAAACAAAGGGCTCGAATGGTCGATGGGCGGCCAGCGACAAATAAGAAACCTCGGGATAAACAGACGGAAACAATGGACGGGCGACCGGAGACGAAGGAGAAGCTAGGCGGACTGTTCCGATGACGAAGAAGAACGCAAACGGCGGCTGGAGATGAAGAAACGCAGACAGCGGCTGGAGATGAAGGAACACAGACAGCGGCCGGAGACGAAGGAATGGATGGAAACAAAACGACAGAGGAAGAAGAAAAGTCGGAGGAATAAGAAGGTTTTCAAATTTTTTCAATAATGGAGGATTTTGGGGATTTGATATTTTTTACTTTTGGAATGTCTAATTAGGCAAAATTTAAAGGATTTAAAATGTAACCGTAATTAATTTTGGATTTTAAAAATTAATTAATATTGAGGTGAGATACAAAACGATATATTAGTAAATTGAGTTATGGTACCATCTTAAATGAGGTTGTTTTATGACAAAAGCGTAAATTTTATACCATTGAATCATTTTATCTAATTATAGTCTCTAAATAGCCTATCAGTACTAATCCCATTAAAAATACATGTCGTCGTAATTGATAATGGCCCAAAGAATTTGGATATTACAAAGAAACGCAATTCTTGGGTGGATCTTAGCTTAGTGTGTAGCCTAGCCCAAACATTAGTATTGGGCCTTATCTGGGCTCTGAGAACTTCAGAAATTAACAACCATTTTGCAATTATATATTTCACAGATTTGTCGATATTTTGTTAGAAAGTTACAAAATATCTGACAAAATATCGACAAATATGTGATTAAACATTTTTCATTTAATGAGATGATTTTTCTTACTAAATTAAGATATATTAATTTTTCCCCTCCATATTTTTTATTATTTTCTTCTTCCACTTCTTCACCACTTTCGTTCATGAAGTTACATAGGTTTTTCTAGTGCAACATGTGCGGTGGGAGATCGAACTAACCTCTTGATTATAGATATATAAAGTTACCTAGGTTGATTTTTCTTTTGTGATAACAACGTCGGCTCCCTTCATTAAATACGAGAACTCGATGAAAAATATAAACATTTTCATGTTTAATAAAATTTTTGTTTTTCATTTATACCATTCATGGATGAAGTGAACCCTTCAACATTTTTAATATAGCGATGATGTGATAAGCAGTAAGTGGGAGTGAGTATGGTATTCTCGTAATACCATCAATTTTCCCTTCTTGTTGTTGCCATTTGTTGAACATGTGTCTAGTAGTATATTAAAAATAGAATTTAGGTAATATTACTCTTAAACAATAAAAATATTGGTTGTTATGAACATAGTTGAAATTAAATGATGAGTACAAATGAATTCAATTATACTTTTACGTGTATTGGAATTTCTTACCCCACGTGTTGTTGTGTACTAAAAAAGAGGGCAATAAAGAACTATAACTCTACATGATGTCACGTTCAACACTAATTCATGTCAATAAAAAACAAACAAACAAATTTTTTTAGTACAACAACACGTGGGATAGGAATTCGAACTCACTACTTTTTTTGGTTGAGTTAGGCTCGGTAAGAAATAATTATCATATTATCATAATAAATAAATAAATAAATAAAAGCCTTAAAAGCATGGTAGCTCTGCTCGAAGTTTAAAAAAATTTAAGTTATAATTTATTTTTTATAGTGTCAACGTATCATAATAAATAAAAACTTGAAGGATGTCAATACATGTTTAATGCCCTTTCTTTTAATACAGGAATTCAAACCTATAATACTGCCGTGGAACATAAGTATCTTAAGCTCAATTGACAATACATATTTAATGTCAATTCTTGTGGACATCCAATTCCAGTTCGTGTTCAAGCCTCGGTTTTTGAACTCCATACAGAATGAGTAGTTATAATCAAAATTGTACTTTTATTACAGTTGTAGACTTTTCAAATTGTCTCGATATAATTATTATACTTTTTATAAAATATATTATTAGATGGAAATTTATGGTAAGTCGAGACCTATTAGAAAGAAAACTAAAAGTCTAATAAATAAATGGACTAAATAAATATAACTTTATAGAAATCTTTTAAAAAATTAAATGGTATGGGTGACGTGGCTAGTTGGTGTCCATCATGATTTAGGAAGATGTCCGTCCGTGTCTGGCTTTACGATGTGATCCCATTTTGGAAACCCAATTATAGTATTCCACGCAAGCACTGACACCCTTTTTCAATGTGCACCACGCACATCCGAACCCACACTCTATTTTGTCGTCTTTTTGTTGCCAAAACTCGGTAAAAAATGCACGGGTTCACTCAGCAACTCGGGCGTGGGTCACAGGTCACTTCAATTCTGGCCATCGTCCTTTGTGGATTTGTTTTGTTTCACTTTTCCTCACACACGTCGTTTCAAGTTTCCGATTCGCTTCAAAGTTCAAACATCCAAACCCCCAGACAAGACAAACCAAGATTATAAACCGACAGCATTTTTATTTTATTTCGTTTCGTTTCGTTTCTTTTTTTTTTTTTAACCCCAACAAAACAAATATAAGGAAAACCCTCCGGATTTGTTTTGTTTTGTCCCGTCCTCTTATTATTTTAAAAAAATTAATTTACTTTTTCTTTCTTTTAATGTGTAAATTACATTTACATTTAAGGCATCGGCCCATCTGGTCAATCTTTAAAGATGATGTCAGTGGATATGTTCATCAACGGCTGGAGCGAATCGGCGGAGAATTTCCTCGCAAACAAGAACGGGTGGTGGGGGTGAGATTTAGCGGTCGACGAAGAATTCCGGCCGCCGGCCGTTCGAATTCTCATTCCACCGTCGCCGTATCTCGGCCGGGCGATCCTCAGACGACGTATTAGATCGGGGCCCACGTCGGATGCCTCGTACGTGCGAGGGTGGCCATCGAAACGGCCCTTCCAGTCCACGTGTGTAAGTGTAGCCGTAACCAGCCCTGGGTGGTCCCCCATGCTGAGTAAGGTGGGGAAATAATTCTCCTCAGGATAACACGTGTCCCACCGCACGCAGGGCAAGTCAAACTTTGACCAAACCCTCTCATCACTCACCACCATCCTCGCGTGCTTGCGCGTGAGAATCCAAAATTGCGACCCAATCCGGAAATCCGCCAATTTAACCACCGGAAGCATTACTTCGGGACCACGCGCCGCCCACCGGTCGTAGGTGCCGATCTCATTTTTGAGAACCTCGATGAAGCTCTTGTTGGATCGAATTAGCGTCGAGTAAGTGAAATGAAATGAATGGAGAGGAATGCAAGAGGGAGAGAGGAGAGCAAACATGGAATTAGCGGAGTCGTGAAGGAGGGCGTGGGCGAGTAGGCGGCGCGCGGCGGCGGCGAGCGTGGGGGAGAATCTGTGAGACGGTTTGGAGGGGATGAGGCGGTGGGCGAAGACGCCGGAGAAGGGCGGGTTGTATTGGCGGGTCGGGTCGGCGTGGATGTAGATATTGAAACGTTCGGGTGGGACGTTTCTGAAGAACAACTCCCAAAGAGGGGCGAAAGGGAGGGGGGATGTGGTGAGGAACATGAAGGCTAATTTGGGAGTTGGGGATGGGGTGGAGTTGACTCGGGCGGCGAGGGGGAACAGAAAATCGTCGTCATCGGGCGGAGGAGGGAGCGGGAAAATGGTAATTTTACGGTGGGTGTTGGCGTTGGGGAAATAGAGGGAGGGGAAGGGGAAAAGTAGAGGGTAATCGGAGGGGGTTCTGTGGAGGGTGAAGAGAATAGCTAAAGGGAAGCAAAGAAGCAGAGCACAGATGAGAGAAAGTGGGTTAGGGGACAGCATCGTTGCTACTGATTTCGAACTTGACACACACAATCAGATATGGTGGAGTGGAGCAAAACAGAAAAAGGAAGGGATTTGGTGGAGTGGAGCAGTTGGGAAATGGAGATGAAAATGTTGAGAATGGTGCAATCTAGAATGTGCAAACTGGAGCGCGAGGATTGAGGCGGGGGGGATTAACAAAAAATTATCTAGTTTCCAAATCAGATATGCGATTAGAGAGACAATAATTAAGAGAAAGAAAAGGAAAAAAAGTTGTGGTGGGGAACACGTGGCAAGCATGCAGGAGAGGTGATGGCATCGGACGGATAAGGATGGGTCAGGGTTGAGACTGAGACGAGGAGGAATGATTGGCTAAAAAGGTGTGATGAACCACACTCAATCATCTTCCCTTTCTCATAGGAGAGGGACCAGTGCGGCTTTATTCAATACGACCGAAAATCTTTCATTTTTTTTATTGTTAATTTAAGTCCAATATTTCCATTCATATATCAATCTATTCCTCTCCCTCCTCTCATTTTATTTCTCTTTCTAAACATCATCTATCCATCTTTACAAAGTTTTATATCTCCACTCCTCGAGTGTTTTATAATTTTCTCTCCCCTATTTTTCTAAATATGAGCTCTCATCCGCAAATTTCAAATAAACTTAAATAAATTATTAAAATTGTTTGAGGAAAAGTATAATTTGTAAAGATGTAGAAAAAATATTTGAAAATTAAGAATAGTTTTAGTAAACCATATCAATTGAATCAATTTCAATTCCAAAAAAATTATAATAAACAATTGATTCTAATATTCGAATTCGATTCTCATCCATATTAATTTTCATTGTATGCAAAATGAGGCATGTATTTAATTAAATTTAATCAAGTTTAATATCATTAGTCAAATAATGACAACCCGTAGGCTCACATATCAATTTGTGCACTTTAGTCTTATCGATAAAGTTCTTCATATAAAATATGTTTTGTGTTTATTTGATCTCCAATCAAATAGATTGATAATTAATCTTATCAACTTTATCACATAGTTCAACGGATGAAGACATGTATTCAAATATTTAACTTTATTGTTTGTACTTAAAAATCCAATCTTTCATCAAATTTAATCATGTGGGAAGACTTGTGTCTCCGATTTGAGGATTTTCAACACTATTATTATCTTGTCATTTCAAATAAACTTCCACAAAAAATATATATATATATATAAATGATTGCCTCCCACCGCAAAACTTATATATTGGAAACATTTAAATCATACAACCAACCATATCACTCCATCCAAATATCCACGTAAATAGTCATCTTCTAAAATTCAAAACAAATCAACATAAACGATAATAAAAGCATTAATTTTCAAAATATGCGTGTATTATTTTCTAATTTGATCCAAGTAAAATCTAACACACATACACATATTCAATGAACGTAAAACGGTCTATACTATTTGCTCAAAATAATTTAAATATCAAACAAAGTTTCCTAAAAAAAACAATTTGGTTCTCACGGTTTAATAACATAACAATTAAAAAAATATAATTGTGCCAATGAAATTAAATAGCAAAAATTATGAGAATAAATTAACTTATTTTAATAATCTTTTTTAGTACAACAAATGTAGAGTGTGTGGAAATTTGAATCTYTTACTTCAAAGAAGATAATTATATGATATTATCGAAAGTATACTTTAACTAGTAAAACTATGTTTAAATTAAAACTATTATTTAAATTTATTTATAAATACACTCATTCAAAAAAGTAGAACTAAAGTTGATTGCCCTTCCTCTCATTATTTATTTACCAATCATGATCAAATTCCCAAACCCATTTTGAAGGCAAGCTCCCTTACTATACTATATACTATTTGCTTTTAGCTTTGAATCTACCTTAATTATTTTGAACTATACTCTAAAATTCTAAATACTCCATATCAATAAAGGTTTTGTAGGTTTACAAGAATAAAATCTTTGATGTTAATAACATAATTCAACGCACAATACATTTCAATACCCTCTAAAGCATCATAGGTTCAAATATATATAAAAAATACTACAAATGAAAACTATACATTTTTTGGAATTGTAAATATAGTCTTAGTTTAAGATTGTTGTGGCCGTTAAAATAATTGTGGTTAATTGTGCTTTTATAAAGATCGTTGGTTACATGAACTAAATTTTTGTTTGGCAAATATAAACCGTAAACATGAAAAAAAGCATATTAGAGCAATTCCACTTTTAAAACATGAACAGATCTTACCCCCAAAAAAAAAATCATTTCACAATCAATTTTATCAAATTCAAATAACCAATGCTATTTCATTGCCGACCAACACTATTTTTTGCTGGATACAATTCAGAGGAGGTGAGAGAAAATGCGGGAAAAAAAGAAGTTAAAAAGCTGTCAAATTTTTGTGAGTGTCAAAACGGAAGTTGACTGTCAAAATATTGTTCATTTTATAATCAGTACAAAGACGAAATCTTATCTTGGTACAACCAACGTAGATTTTGGATATCAGTTCTTTCTTAATTTTAAAGATTTAAACCTTCGTACCCTAATCTGTGTTAAAAAAAGAAAAAAAAAAACTCTTATTTTGGGACCCAGCTTCAAAAGCACAGATTTTTTTTTTTTTGATAAAAATGGTTGCTTTTTGGGAGTCAGTGAATTTGGGTGGCCAATAAATTTGGGGGAGTAGTTGGTCTAAATGCAATTAAATAGGCCAAGTATGATTTACAATCGGTCAACACCAGTTTAAAGAACACAGGACAGTGAATCACATGCGAGAGGAGAGAGAGAGGCTAGCTCCTGGCCGTGGGGTGAGAAGAAGCGATAAGGATGAAAATGTGAAAGAATTCTTTTTTGGGGTTTGTGAAGAAATTTTGCTGCTGGCATTGTTGCAAAATGGGGTTGAGGTTGGGGTTAGTTTGGGCCACCGACTGTGACAATATTATGAGAATTCTCCCCCCTACGCCTACATGAATGGGTCAGGACTCGCAGAAAGCAAAAGCCAAACACACACCCAAACATCTCTCTACACACACACAGAGAAAGAGAGAAAGAGAGAAAGAGAGAGACTCATGGGGCTAGGGGAAGCAGGCATGTGGATGAGTGGGGGACACACCAAACTCATCAATTTTTTAAAATACCCTCCTTTCAAATAATTGAGTATTGGACAGTGGACACACAACAGAGCGAGGGGGGGCTGGGGAGGAGAGAGAGAGAGAGAAAAAAGGGGAGGGCGACTGGGAAACACTCGAGAATCAATTTCACTCATATTTCCCCAACTTCCCCAGCCCTTTTTTCCAATACCCTTTTCTTCTTCTTCTTCTTCTTCTTCTTCCTTGAATCTTGGAATTCCATCTGCATTTTGTTTGCCTAAAAGGGGATTTTCGCCTTCTCTTTCTCTGTTGAAGATGCCAAGGCCAGGTCCGAGGCCTTATGAGTGTGTAAGAAGGGCTTGGCACAGCGATAGGCACCAACCCATCAGGGGTTCTCTCATTCAGGAGATTTTCAAGTGCCTCTTTAATCCCTCTCCCTCTCCCTCTTTCTCTTTCTGCAGATCATTTTTGTTTTTTTGTTTTTTTGACTCTCTGTTGGGTTGTTTGTGACCTGTTTTGTTGTTTCTCTGTTAGGGTTGTGCATGAGATTCATAACTCCTCCACCAAGAAGAACAAAGAATGGCAAGAAATGCTTCCTATTGTTGTTTTCAAAGCTGAAGTAATTTTGTACTCCAAAGCCAGTTCTGAGGTACTCTCCTTCTCTCTTACCATTTTCTGCTTCAGTTCTTCTGTTGCTCATCCACATCCGCCACCTGATATGGAAGTGAGACATTGTGCTTCACATTTGTAATTACTTATGAAGCTTTAGGCACCCAACTAGCCTGAAGCCATGATCTCTGTTTAAGCTTAGTTTTTCAAAGAAATAATCTCATTTTTTCCATGAATAGGCTGAATATATGGATTTTAATACTCTTCGGGACCGCTTAGTGGATGCCATTAATACTATAATAAGGCTTGATGAGAGTACAGAAACTGGGGAATTTCTTCAGCCTTGTATTGAAGGTATCCCTTAATATTAAGTATCTTTCAAAGCTGCTTCTATGGTCCCCTTTTGCATCCTTTTTTTCCTTTTTGGGCGGTTTTTGTCTTGATCCCTTGTGTTGAATTTGATTTCTCTTCCAGCTGCTCTCAATTTAGGCTGCACACCCAGAAGAGCTTCAAGGAGCCAACGAAATAATAACTCTACGAACTATCTAAGTTTTAGGAATCAGGAGTCCCCTAGCATGTCTCCTCCTCCCATGGCAGTGAAGACTTCTCAAGGAGTTGTCACAAATTCACATTATGTGCCCCATTTTTGGAGTTTGGTAAAACCTGTGGCCAATGGTTCAAGCCATCCGGGCATTAGATTCCAAAGCCTTCTTCCTGCTAATAACTCCACCACTGAAAAGTTTCCTGCTTCAATAAGCCCCCACTGTTTGATGGAAAATGTTCTGCCATCGAACAAGTTTTCCATCTATCCGCTGTATTACAGCAGCGATACTCATCAGCAAGGACTGCATTCTGGGTTCGAAATCACTCCTAGGCCCATTTCTACATCTCTGGACTCTGCAAATGGAGGTGTTATGGAGAAGACTAGTGCCTCTGATACAATGGCAGCTAATGGCATCACCCAAAATGAAGCAAGGTATTCTCTTGGGAGCCCATGTGATCTAGCACTGCGGTTGGGCCCTCTCTCAGCTTCAAGCTCGAGCTATGAACATAAAATTCCCCATTGTATGTTTAAAGTTGGTTCCGGAAGTTCACCAGAGGAAGCAAAATCTGATGATTGTTCCCCTGTGATGGAAAGGAAGCTTCCCTTGTTTCCTTTGGTTAATCCATACAGCCTATCCGAGCACAATCCATGGGAGCGGAGTCTTGAGGGTGAATGTGTCGATGCAGAACCAAGGATCAGAAAACGGAAGGCAGATTTTAGTCATTTATCGAGGGAAAGACACTTTAGTTGGCTCTCAAAGCTTCCTTCTAGCGGATTCACAGGCTGAATCTTTATCCATTAAGAAACAAACCAGACTGATTATCAACAAAAGAAGCTGGAGCGGGCCAGTTCCTCAGATACAAATTGTTCGAAAGTGCAGTTTGGATGAAATGTAAGAATGAAGTTCAACAACTGGAATCTAAACTTGGCTGGAGTAAAGAATATATGTGGAAAAAAAAGGGTCAAAGGCTGTCTGTTAGGCAACTTTAACAGTTAAAAAGAATTATCCTTTTGGATTAATGGATAGGTTGGGTGGACCCATGGAGATTACTTTAATTTTAGAAGTGGGTGAAGGGTTGATAAACAAGCAACTGAGTGAGGTTACTGTCCGAGCAAATGGGGGACAGAGAGGTATTGAGTCAACAAGCTTAATTATCATATTTTTGGGGCAATATGTTTTTGGTTCTGTGGGTCCTTTTTATCTTTGTTCTTTTTGGTAAAGGGCTGAATTGATCATTGAATGTCTGGATGGAAGTCTCTGCCTTCAACTTTTAATGAGTAGTGACATTGGTTCTCTGTGGGGTCAAATAGATAGTTCTAGTTTTATCTATTGTTAGTTAAGAAGACAAAGCTTGCTGCTTTTAACTAAATTTGCTTTATCAAATTAGAAAGATGCTTAGAGAGAGATGTAGAGATTCAAATGGGATTAAGTAGGAAAAGTGGGGGCAATTTCTTCCACAAGATTTCATCGATACGATGCTTTTAGCCATGTTCCATAAGATGCCATATTCTGCTCCTTTCCCACCAGTCATTATGTAGCACTTTTTGTCACGTATGCTATCCTGCATTCACTGTATGAATTAATGCCCATTCCAACGGGAGATTTTATGAAATTTAGCGATGACTTGTTACTCCCTATACTATGGGTTTTCGTGTGTACTATGCCTGTTTCTAGACGTTTTGTACTGTTTACTGGTTTTCATAGAAGTTCATCCATTATGCAGTCTTTTCCTTAAAAGTTGATTGTTGATTAAAACAAATCAAAAGAAATAAGGGAAGATTTTAAGATCGAAAAGTTTTTTTTTCATCACAGTCCCAAGCAATCTAAGTTTCATTTACACAATTAGGCAAATCTGAGGGAAGCTTTACAATCAATCTATACATTAAAGGATCATTCGCTTGGGCTACTGAATGATGCAGAGTCTTCATCGAAGAAAACAGAGAACGGGGAAGTGGATGAGGATGAATCAACCGGACTGCTAAAATGGAAGTCAATCTGCAACCTCTGGTGAGGTATAAAATTACAACTCAACTTCCTCTGTTCTTGTTCGAGCTCTTCGATTGTTAAGGCTGCAAGAAACCTTTTGAAGAACTCTCTGCAACACTCTTTTCCCCTGCAAACCAATTCCTTGATCTCCCCTTCCTCTTTGTTTTCAAACATCAAACTCGAGCTGTCGAACTTCAAGATGTAGGCTTGGTTACACCCCTCGAACAGCCGCTCGCCCAATGAATCAACGATATAGCAAGCGTCTTCTTCCATCTTCAGCACGAAGAAATGATCATTCCAACTCACGATGTAAATTCTTGGCTCATAATAACCAGTGGAGGTTTTGGCATTGTTATTGACCTCTTTCCATATCTGCTCAAACGACATTGCTTCTGTCAAGCAGTTGAATTTCTCTGGGCTGAAGAACCCCACAAAGGAATTTTCAGGCAATACGGTGATTGGCCGGACTTCTGCTTCCACAACAGTCTCGAGGTCGAAATGTTTGTTGGGGAAGGAGCTGGAGTAGCAGTCGTTGCTGCAGAGCTTTTGCCATTCTGAGGAACCTTCCATTACGAGGCTGTCGAGCTCTGGCCGTGTGGGCATAGCACCTTGGTTTGAATGTAGCCAGTGGGTGATCACGGCGACAATCGCTGTGCAGGCGCTCTCACCATTGGCCTTTTCGCTACGCTGGTCAAAGGAGCCAAAGAACAACTCTGTTTTCAGCTTTGCTTTGCCATCTCTGCTTACAATTTCTCTCGTTTCCCACCTCCCTCCGGTGCCTTCTCTGTTTTGGCCATCTAATTCCAAAGAAACCTGATCTGCAGTTTTTACTCCCTGCAAAATAATTCAACAGATGATTAACTCCAACTCAAAATACTATTTAGGTTAAATTATAAGATTGATAATTTGGAAAAATGCACTATTCTGTGCTTTTAACACTTTTTTTTAATATTTCGATTAACTTTTAATTTTGTGTATGATGGTAAAGATGGGTCCTAAAATTTCAGAACAACATAATATTTATTAATGAAATTATTGATAATGTTATCTATTCCATTAAAGTTAGACTTTTTCCTTTTTTCTTTAATAATTGATCTGGTCAACTTATAAGAATAATTCTTCCATGCGGTTTCCGAGTCCAATACACATAAGGAAAACAGAAATTTTAAGGCCTACCGTTTGGGAAATGGGGGCGACAGGGAACACGGAGGAGTCCTTGTCGTCTTGTTGTCGGTCAACGGTAACTGCGTCGTTGACCGCCGTGTCCGTCTTCTCCGACCACGGCTCCACCTTCCCCTTCGAATTCCTGAAACTGAAACTCAGCCGCCTCTTCTTCCACGACAATTTCCCCTGCTTTTGATCTCCCTCCTCCTCCGATCGATTCCCCACGACCGCGTTTTCACCGTCCGATGAAATCGCTTTATCTCTGTTTTTCTTCTTGAAGCTCGTCAGATCTTTCAACGCCCTGAAAAACCCGTCCTTTTCGTCCTGCGCCGGGTCTCGGGCGATTCGGGTCGGATCAGGATCATCTCGGACCTCCACAAAATTCACGCGTACCTTCAAAATCCCATCAACACCAATACATTAAAAAGTCAATCTTGTTATCCTCTGCATCTTTTCAATCAGAAGTCAAATCCAAAAGTTGCTTTTTTGGCCAATGAACGATCAAATTTCATGGAAATGCTTACAGAAAGCGTAGCAGGGCGGGGACCCGCAGCATCCTTCAACGTAATGGGGAGGATTGCATCGATCTTCGCCTCCATTTCCGAAAGCACTTCTGCCAAATTTAGCGATGCCTTCCCCAAAACCGACGATTTCGTCTTCGATTTCGTGCTGTTTTCCTATTGATGAAACAAATCTCTCTTAATAAATACTAAATTTTGTACGATAAATTGGAGAAATGTGAGCGTAAACAACGTACAAGCAAGACGTAGAAGTTGGTGTCCCAGGAGCCAATTGAAGCGTCGTCTGCGGCGGAGAATTCACAGATGCTGTGGAATTCGTCGTCCCACTCGACGGTTTCTTGGCCATTGTTCAGAAATCGCTGGGGCCTGGTGCGATTTCTTTGGAGAGACGATTTTCCATAGAATGGAACCGATAAAAGAGAATGCTTTTGAGGACCCTTCCATTTGATTTCAATGGCGACTGCTTCATTCTCTTTACCAAATCCATAAAGCTTCAATTTTTCCAACTTCACCTGGAATTTCTTCATTTTCGCCATCTTGTTTTCTGAGTAAGCAAAATAGAGAGAGGAGAGAGGAGAGAGATGTTATGAACGAAGGAAAAAGAAAGAAGAAGCGTAAAAGTTAAAATTAAAAATCAAGTGGGTGAGTGACAGCTATTTCAATTCGTTTGAGGGACAAGCCCAGCCCGTGTTTCCGTGTTTAAGAATAAGGCATTTTCAGTATAAAAATGAAAAAATAAACTTTACTATGTCCAACAAAAAAATATTTATTTAATATAAATAAAAAGCTAAAAACAAATTTTATAAATAAATTCACTAACATATATTATTTACATCACGTTTAAGAACTGGATATAAAAGCAACGGCCTTTTTGTGGCCAGTAGTGGCCTCCTCTCTTAATTTGTGGCTTACGTGGCCGGGATTTATTGGGCAGTTGTCGAGGAGGATTATTGCCAGGTCAGAAGTGGATGATCGTACCAGTACCACCAACGGGTGAGGGACACGTCATAAGAAAACAGTAAAACGTTAGAGAAACGCGGTGGATTATAATAAAACATAAAACGACAAAACTACCGTACGTTCGACTTCGAGGAAGATACGGTTTTTGCCTTTGCCTCGTCGCTTCGTTGGGTTTTTCGAATGCGACGGGCAAGTTGTTGTCACGTGTGTGAAACCGTCGTGGAGCCGACCAAGCACGTGCATTCGCCACGTGTCTTTTAAATGTGCTGCATTTTCCCTTTTTTCCCATTACAAAAAGAAAAACTAAAATTCTGATTTATGCAATTTGTATGACCATTGACTATCTAATAGTAAAGTTTTTTTTTTTTCTTTTTTGTATTTTAAAAATTAAATGGCTTTATCATTATTTGTTTTGTTACATGAAATCAACTGGGCCGGATGTCATGCAAGTTAATGGGCCTCACCCCAAATCCAGTACTGAGCCCTAAATATATCTGGATCCATTTGTGTTTCAAGTTGGGCTTCCACTTGATTCCGTTAAAATCCGTGGGAGATGATACAGTCACAGTGTTAGAAGGCTGATCCATTTTACATAACTTTATTAAAATATAAAATTAAAGTAATAAATCAACGGAAACTATGCCAAAAGTATAGTTTAGGGGTCACTGTATTACTTTATCATACATCTCTTTAAGATTGTTCCTATCATCTAAAAGAACCCACAAAACTATATAAAAAAATTAAATTCAAATTAATATAGTAGTATATCAATGGTTGATATCACATAAGCTAGTCAATTAGTGATTTAAATATTGCCAAATTAATTGATTTAATAAGGCACGAACTAAATACATTTATAATCTTAAATTACTTTAAAAGGATTATCTTGGAGCCAACATAAGTTTAGCTCGACGGTAATTGACACATGTTTCTGACAACTGGTCATGAATTCTAATCTCATCCTTCTAATCTCATCCCTCACTTAGTACAACTTGTACTAAAAAAAGGTTATCCTAAAATAATTTACAATGTATGAATTTAAGGTATTTATTGATGTTTAAATTCTTCATTACCATATTTTTCGAACTTAATTAACAAAATCAAATAAATTTTACGTTTTCATCTTGAATTCAATTGGTTCGTTCTATTCATATTTTTGTTAGATAAAATAATCTATCAATTGAGGCTATTTGTCAAAGAGGACCAAATCAATATATTTAAGTAACTAATCAAATTGCATTGCATGAATAAAATTATTATGATAAGGTAACTAACAAGCAATCAAGGAGAAATTTTGATTGGGTTAATATGATCCTTTCTTCGCTTTCAAGAATACCTAATGCCTATTTTATGCCAAAGTTGATGGCTGTTTTTCAAAATCTACTCCCACTTTCGAATGAGTGTTTGAATCCATAAAGGTAATTTTCATTTTATTTTTGTTTTCTTCTTTCTTCCCAACTTTAAATTATATTTTAATGCATGATCATTTCATATGGTTTATAATTTTTTAAATATTTTGTTTTATTGGTGATTATGTTTTTGAAGGATAGATTTTGCTATTTGAATTAAGTTGATTTTGAGTTTTAGGTACAAATTTTTTCGATTATAAGACTAATTGATATTTTAAATTATATTATATTAATACAAATAAGCATGTATATGTGGGAACATAATAAAAATAACATCTTTCTTTTTAACTATTTAATACAAACATAACAAAAATATAGTTTGCAAGAAACAAAAATCGAGGCAATTAAATAAATGACCGAATAAAAATATGTATTTCTAAATATAATAATAGGTTTAAAATTTTGACATAATTTGATTTGAGGTAAAAAAAATTATTAACATAAAATTCAAGTCCGTGACATTTAAAAAAAAAAAACAATTTAAAATGCATACAATTTTTTTGCCATTTAATACCTTGTTGATGCAGAAATTTTGCCTATTTGAATTCTGCCAAATTCGCACCAATCTTGAATAAAATGGATCGACGAGACTTGCAAAATAGCACTAGGATCTGTGTGGCTTTGACACACGAACTCCGATGCTTAAGTTAATATCCCTATTTATAGAAGTGGAGTGATGAGAGTAGGAGAAGAGTAGGGGATTTATGTCTAATGCTTACCCCCCAATTTATAGAAGTTAAATCATAATCTCCTTAGGTTTGAAGTTGAATCCTAGTATCTTTAGAAGATCTGGACTTCTGGGTTCATGTGTTCCGTAGTAGACCTAATGTCGGATGAAGGTCGAGATCAGATGGGGTTTCGGATTGGGCTGCACAAGGATCGAGAAAAATTGAATTAGGATTCTTGATCTTTTGGCCGAGAACACCTCGGCGCCGACCATGGGTCGGTCCAAGTTGGTCCAGACCGACGGTCTTCGACGACTCCCCTCCTATCAATTCATTCGTTCTATATTTCCAGTTCCATGACATAATCCAGGATTATTGCCTTATTTAAGTAGCATCTCCTCAACACTAACTCTCTAGAATTCAAATTTAATTTAAATTACAAAGATTTTGTTGCTCATAACCTACCAACATTACGTCATAAAAATAATATAAAGTATAGGTAATTGAAGATATTAATTCAGAATTTTGTTTATTGGGAATGGTGGTATGCAATGCACTAAATGAATGTCTTAATTATGAAAGATTATCCCACGTGATGAAGCCACCAAATATTGTGTGATTGCCATGTGGCTCAAATTGGCAAAGCATGGTTCATTTAATTGGAGTCTTTGAAATTGTTAATATTTAAGAAGAGTAGGGCATGAGTACTATTTAAATCTACTCTATGAGGTGGACTTTAGTGTGTTGTACCAATTAATGTGTGAAATTATTTGGTTGCATTATCTACATAATTCTATAAAAAATAATAACTATAAAATTTGGTATCAATTTTTTCATTTTCGATGCATGCTTCAATCATTAATTTGATGTCCAACATGAGCATTTGATGGTAGAGCATCTACTACTTTCCTCGATCTATAACAAAAATTTTCAGTTATATTATATCAAATAGTACATCAGATATTCATATCAATAGTATATTAGTTGTATATTACATACATATTACACAGAAAATTTCAAAGGTATATCACATATATATTTCAAGTATATCAAACACTCATATCAATAGTAGATTACATACATATATCAGTAGTAAGATATCTATATATATATCATTTGGGTAAAGTTGTCACTTTAAAATTGGACCTCCATTTTTTTTTTCAAAAGTATTATATTTAAAAAAACTAAATGCCGATTGTTATTTTACTAATTTTACTAAATGTTTTTATCATATTTACGACCGTTTTAATAATTATATTTGCTTAAGATTCCTTCCCATTTCACAAATTTGACTTTTCCTAAGTAGAACGTCGCGCCTTTTTTCTTCTACTGTTAGGTGGGACTCCTCGTTTATTAAATATAAAATCATCAAATAGATATGGTTTAGATTTTTGTAATTTTGCCAATTGTCGAAATTAGGGTATCTAACTAAGAATTTTCAGGCTAAAATTTTATGAAAAAATATTTGTTAAGTGATATGAATCAATGATCAACTTGAACACTCACTCGAATTAAGACTTGTATCTAAGTTCTAATCTCCACCTCACACATTAAAAATAGGATAGTAATGAATGATTAACTTAAATATAATTAGTCATTTTTTACATGTATGATTGAATAGCTCGTATAATGATTAATTATTATATATATTGATTAGTATTAATAACTTATATATAAACAATGGGCAAATATTTTTCTAAACTGATATCTTCATAATGATTTATGTAAATATCAATGTATCCATAATAATTTCTTAACGTTGGACTTAAAACTCATCTCTTTCTACTTTCTCCCTCTGCCAAATCAATACTAATAGGTGGCATTAAACGACTTTCCACGTAGCAGGAGAACAAAAATTATTTGAGGCCCAAAATACAACACATTGCACCCCAAGATCGACGAATCGTACTCAATAATCTCTTTTAGACTATAACCTTAATAAAGGATAGCATTGAGGTATAGTATGAAACTACTTTTCAATTGCTCTCATGTTAGGAATCTAAATACTTTCGTATGTAAATATGTTAATCTAATTATTCTTCTTAATATTAGTATGTTCGATTTCTTACTTATTTATTTTTTTATTATAATACATTGGAAATAGAGAGTTTGAACCTCCCATCTCAATTAAGAAATAGATGCTAATTATCATTAATGTATACTGAGTTCATTTGTGTTATTAAAGGGATCATCAACAATAAATACCATCTATTAAAATTAAAACAAAACAAAAAAGAAAAAGGTTCCTTTTGGTATTGAAAAAGAAAAAGAAAATGACACGAAGAGGAAAAAATAAAAATTCTTAACCAAAGACTGGGGCATCGACTCCATGGAAGAGAGATGAGTGAAGACTTAAATACGGTGACAGCTTGGCAATGGCAGACTGATGAGGTTCTGAGTTAGTTGACACCTTTGAAACTCCACCACTACCATCCTACTCCCTACTTGTTCGCATTTATTATTCTCAATTTCCCACTCTGCAATCCGACGAATTTACCAACGCCATCGTTTGTTCTTAACTTCCCCCAATTCAATTCACCACTTTACTTTACTCCATTTCCAATCTCTTTTCAACCCAAACACCAAACCTTTTTCCTTTCGCTCTGTTGCTTGTAAGAGTGGGAGAGATTGGAATTGCGGGGATCCATTTTTTTATTTTCCTATTTGTCGCGGTTGGTTGGCCGCCACCAGCTTTTTGGATTGGCTGTTCCCCAGTTTCTAACACTCTAAACCAATTCAAATTCATTGCCTCAGATCGCTTCTAACCTATGAATCTTACTCCTCGGTACTGCTTTCCCCTCCTCTTTGTTTGTTTCTGCACTAATTAATTCGTTCAATCTCAATCTCAATCTGTTTTGGGTTTTGATTTTATTTAGCGAATTCTTCTCATTCTCACGGTTTTATCTGGGTTTGATTCTCCAGAAAAGGGCATGGAAACAAGCGGTTTTCGTGGTTATAATATGGTGGTCTTTATGTGGGTGACTGTTCTTCTCCTTCGGTTGAAACCTTGCTCCGCTGGTTTTCAGAACGTTGGGCAGATTTCTCCGGGGCTTCAAGGGACCCAGATGAACTGGGTCGATCACGACGGGGTGTTTCTTCGATCCAACAACTCCCAATTTGGCTTTGGATTCACCAATCCACAGGAAGTGACGCAATATTTTCTGGCAGTCATTCACTTAAATAGCAGGAAAATCGTATGGACTGCGAATCGGGCCTCTCCAGTTTCGAACTCTGATAAATTCGTGTTCGACGAGAAAGGTAATGTAATTTTATACCGTGGAGGCAATGTGGTTTGGTCTACGGACACCATGGACAAAGGAGTCTCTGCTCTCGCGTTGATGGATTCGGGAAACTTGGCTTTGCTGGGAAATGATAATGCCGTAATTTGGCAGAGTTTTAGTCATCCGACTGATACTCTCTTATCGAATCAGGGTTTTGTTGAGGGAATGAGACTTGTGAGCGAGCCTGGTTCGAACAATTTGACCTATTTTCTAGAACTTGAATCTGGGGACATGGTTTTGTCTGCAGGATTCAAAACCCCACAAACGTATTGGTCCATGAGCAAAGAGAATCGCAAAACGATCAATAAAGATGGTGGGTCTGTGACCTCTGCAACTCTGATCGGAAACTCGTGGAATTTCCATGGCGAAAACGAAGCTTTACTCTGGCAATTTGCTTTCTCCACCAATACTGATGCAAACGCCACATGGATTGCGGTTCTGGGAGACGACGGATTTATCTCCTTTTACAAGCTTCAGAGTGGTGGGTCTGGAGAAGCTTCGTCCGTTCGAATTCCAGAAGATCACTGTGGAACCCCGGAGCCATGTGGGTCGAATTTCATCTGCTACAGCGAGAACAAATGCCGCTGCCCTTCGATTCTTGGCTCGCACTCAAATTGCCAGACGGGGATCGTTTCGCCATGTGATGAATCGACGGGACATGTGGAACTTGTGGAGCTTGTGGAGTCTGAAGATACGATCGGTTATTTTTCACTCCAATTCACGCAGCCCTCTTCGAAAACAGATTTGGAGAATTGCAAATCCTCTTGCAGAAGTAACTGCTCATGTATTGCTCTGTTTTTCCAGGCCAGTTCCGGGGGCTGTTTCTTGTTCGATGATATAGGTGGGTTTCAAAACTCCAAGAACTCAGAATTCGTTTCGTACATCAAGCTGTCGAAAAACGGAGAAAATGGTGGAAACAATGGCGGAAATGGAGCTAGTGAAAAGAAGCCAATCGCTGCAATTCTGGGCATTGCCCTTTCCACTACGATTGTCATTTGTGGTCTGATTTACGTCGGAATTCGATACATTAGAAAGAAGAAGGAATCTCCAGAACCTCCTCAAGAGAGTTCGGAAGAGGAGAATTTCTTGGAGGGCCTCTCGGGGGCTCCGATTCGTTACAGTTACAAGGATCTTCAAACCGCGACGGATAATTTCTCAGTGAAACTCGGGCAAGGTGGGTTCGGTTCAGTTTACAGAGGAGTTCTACCAGATGGGGCTCGTTTGGCAGTGAAGAAACTGGAGGGAATCGGGCAGGGAAAGAAGGAATTCAGAGCTGAAGTAGGCATAATCGGCAGCATCCATCACATCCATTTGGTCAGGCTCAAGGGATTCTGCGCCGAGGGAACCCGTCGCCTTCTGGCTTACGAGTTCATGGCCAATGGGTCTCTCGACAAATGGATATTCAAGAAAAACAGAGCAGATTTCTCACTGGATTGGGACGCGAGATTCAACATAGCCGTAGGAACAGCGAAGGGCTTAGCATATCTTCACGAAGACTGCGACGCCAAGATCGTCCACTGCGATATCAAGCCAGAAAACGTACTTTTAGACGACAACTTCCAAGCCAAAGTCTCGGATTTCGGCCTCGCAAAGCTAATGAACCGCGAGCAGAGCCATGTGTTCACCACATTGCGAGGAACCAGAGGCTACCTCGCGCCAGAATGGATCACAAACTACGCCATTTCAGAGAAGAGCGACGTGTACAGCTACGGAATGGTACTGCTAGAGATCATAGGCGGAAGAAAAAACTACGACCCAACGGAGAGCTCGGAGAAATCCCATTTCCCAACCTACGCTTTCAAGATGATGGAAGAAGGGCGGCTCAGGGCCATCCTCGACGCAAAATTGAACATAAACGAAAACGACGAGAGGGTTTTGGTAGCGATTAAGGTTGCGCTGTGGTGCGTGCAGGAGGATATGCACCAGAGGCCGTCGATGGCGAAAGTGGTTCAAATGCTTGAAGGGGTTTGCGGTGTGCCGCAGCCGCCGATTTGCTCGCCGCTGGGCTCTCGCCTGGTTGCGGGGTTTCTGAAATCTAGCAGCGGGGAGTGGACTTCGTCGGGGCCGTCGGACTGTAACAGCGATGCGTATCTTTCGTCGGTGCAGCTGTCTGGGCCAAGATAGTGGGCGGAAGCTCTGCCTCATCTCTTAAGCCTTATTTGTATAAACTTGCGCTAAATTTTCAGATTGCTGCAGTTTTGTAACACCAGATTTTGCTTATGTACAGCTTCTTTGATTATCAGTTCTAGAGTTTTCAATTGGCCCAATGGCGGAGGCAAGATGGGTGTAGTGTTGTGAGTTTGTCATATTGGGCTGAGTTGAGATTTATGTAGAGAATTTTAGACTTGGATAGTTAAAAATCAGTTTAGATTAAACCTTGGTGGGTTTTCACTCATAACACAATTTGAGTGTGAAAAAGAGGTTGGACTTGTCAAGGTAGGGAAGAAGATTGGTCAACCTTCCTTTGTAGATTAGAGGTTGAAAACATTATCATTGTTTCGATTAATCAGATTTGGTTGACAAAGAAACTCTAATTCTAGGCAGGTGGTCGCCATAGTTTGAACCTATTCTTTCTAAATTTTTTACAATTTACATTGGTTTTGATTGACCACTTGATCATTCAATGATGGTTACCAGTGCCAGCTTTTTTTTTTTTTGTTAAGAAAAGAAAAAGTCTCTTCTCTAATCTTTGTGAGCGAAAGAATTTAGTAATTTTTCATCGTCCATGCTTCTAAAATTATAAAAACTAAATTGAATTTAAACTCATTTAGTATAATTAATCTCATATTTTGTCTTATGAGATGCCACAAGCCATGAGACCTTTTTTTCAGTATAATAGATTGAAAAAGTAGATGGGACCAATTTGGATTGTTTGTTATCTACTAGTTCCGCGAATGGTAGGGCTCAATTCGTCATTCCATGATACACGTTGGTTGCACGGACTCTCGGAGCAGCCGGTCCATCTCACTCGCTCGTGGAGATGGCTTCCACCTTCCTCAACTCCGCGACGCCGTGCAATGCCGCCGTCGTGTCCTCTTCCTCTCTCAGATTCAAGTTCAAACTTAAATTTCCCGCCAAAGCACCGCTACCGTCTCCTCCGACGGTCCTGTTTCGCGCCAAAACTCCCGTTACTTGTTTTATCCCCGCCCACGGCGATGCTTCTGGTAAACCATTAGTTATCTTCTTTCTTCTTTTTTTTCGTTTGTGCAAAACCTTGGTGGATTGGGAGAGATGCAGCATTGCCCGGTTCGGTTTTCATTACTTGAATTTGACTGTTGTTATCTACCCTGTGTATATTTGCTATAAACGAACAAATTGGTTTGCGGCTGAAACCGAATTCTGTATTTTGCATCATGGAATGGCGAATTGAACCCTACTATTCGCGGAACTAGTAGTTGTTATCTTTATATTGTTTCTTTCGGTCCCTAAAATACTGTTTGAAATTGAATTTACAGTTCAGAATGATTTCTGCTTTCTGAAGAAGAGGGAATTTGTCTTTTCTGCCGCGCTGCCATTTCTTCTTATTTTGCATGGATCCGTGGAAGGTTTTGGAGCTGAGGCGGCAGAGTAAGATGAGGATGGTGCTATTAATTACATGCGATGAAATTTTTAAGTATTTAGCATCTAGCTTTCTGTATTTTTAACTCTGAACATTATCGAGAATTCATGAAGAATGTGGTCCATCTCCATTCATCAGTTAACATTATATATTCCATATATTTTTAGATCCTAGTAGAGGGACCATTAACAACAAATTCTGTCTATTTTCTATTCTGCTCAGAAGATTGGATAAAAGTGAAGATGAACGGATAAGAGAAGAAGTACGAAAGGTGGTAACCAAATACAATGCTGCTGGTTTGCTTCGTCTGGTATTTCACGATGCAGGAACTTTTGAAACGAATGATAATTCAGGTTCATATTCTTATTTTAGGAGAGAGATTTTTAGTTTTGAATGCCGGACAGTGGACTATCAAAACTCGAACAACACTGGATGTGTTGGATTTTAGTTTTTGTTTGCATCATACGCCACTTTTACTGAGATTATGGAGGGCAGTAATGTTCCTTCTTTATAGGCTTTTCGATATGTTTGTCATTTTAGCAAGCTTTGTAATTCTTATGTAGGTGGTATGAATGGGTCTATTATTCACGAACTTGATAGACCTGAAAACACAGGTCTCAAGAAACCAGTTAAGGTGATTTTCTCTTTTATTGGGCCCTCGGTGTTTTATGGATCTCTTCCCAGCAAGCTCATTACTGGTTGCACTGTTTTTAGATTCTTGGGAAAGCAAAGAGTACACTGGATTTAATAAGACCAGGTATATTTCCTCTCTATTTCTCCATTACTGTCAAAGGGAAATAAAGTTTTCATAATAGAAGGTACTAACCAGGCTAACTTCTTGAGAAATTGGCTTGTGAATAGTATCTTGGGCAGACATGATATCAGTGGCTGGCACTGAAGCAGTTTCAATCTGTGGAGGTCCAAGTATTGCTGTTGAGTTGGGTAGATTAGACTCGGGGTAAGGTGAAGGTGGCTGTTTCTATTGTTATATGATGAATTAACATTTTACTTGAGATGCAATCTTTTAACTTGTTTCTCTTTGCTGTTGTTTTTCCATGAGCTTTATGCACGAGAATGGTTCATTTGGTTTTCTGGACAATAATGACTAATGAGTATATTCTCCGCATTCTAACCTTTCCCATGAGCTTTATGAACAAGGGAGAGTTCCGATTTCTGAGAATCTCCCTCTCTAATATTCAACTAGTTGATTTCCTGTTCCACATTATAGTTTGATCCGTCCTTACTATATGCACACTCTCTCTTCTTCATCAATTATACCTTATGCTAACTAGCTTCTAATTGAGTTAGTCCTCATGTGCAGTAGACCAGTCTAGCTAACTAACTTCCTGTGTTCCCTTTACTGAAATTTTTGTCTCCCATTATTGCATTCTTTTTGTCATATAAGTAAAAATTGGCTATGAGGTTGGTCGTATCATATTAATGTTAGATATGTATGGGTGTGTGTTTTTTTTTCCTTTCATAATTTTTTCCCTCCTTTTCCAAATAGGAAGCCAGATCCTGAAGGAAAACTTCCAGAGGAATCTTTGGATGCTTTTGGATTGAAGCAAAGCTTCAGCAGAAAAGGATTTGCGTGAGTGCATCTGCTATCTCATTTTGACCCTGCCGTTTGAAGGAATTGTTTATTTCTTTTAAATGATCTTCTGCAAAGTCACTAAACTGTTTTATATTTGGCTTTTATTTTCATTTGCATCTTTTTTTCTTTGCCAATATATTCTATGTTACTGCATCTCTCTCATTCATATATTCACTTCCTAATGTGGCTGAGTTGTGATTATGGTTTCTAAATTATTATTTGGATTCCTTTTCTGCTACATCTGTTTTTGAGAATACAGAAAGTGACTCAAAGTCAATTATCAAAATAAACATTTAGTAATGGGAAATACTAGTTCTACATTTGATTGCACGACACAATCCTTTTAAATATGTGTTGAAAAATCTTGTTAATTATGAAAACCAACTACCTCCTAGTACCAACAAGTATAACATGGACAGTAGAAGAGAAGTTAACAATGATGCTGTCACTCTTGAAATCTGCCCATTATCTGTCAAATCCTTCACCCAGACACAAAAGTGCAAATACCAAACAATTCATAATGGATGCTGTTTTTCTTTGCAGAACACAGGAACTAGTCGCTCTATCTGGAGCCCATACCATTGGCAGTAAAGGTTTTGGAAGCCCTGTTGTTTTTGATAATTCGTATTTCAAAATCCTTTTGGAGAAGCCATGGTCGGATACTGGTAATCAATCTCATGACAAAATTTCCATTCTTCTCATGTTGTTCGAATCAATCCGTCCTTGGCTACATGAGGCAATGCCTCAACTCATGCTCTAATCATATTTAATTCTGAACTGCTTAGATAGGTTTTGGTACTATCTTAGCGAGTAAATGAAATATTATCAATTTATCATTATGCTATTCTGGCTGAACTGAGCTAAGAAATTCTTGTGATTTCTGGGAACTGAGTTGTTAGTTTTGCTATTGATTAATAATACAAGGAACTGCTCTGAATTAGTTAATACATATGTCCACTCAGATCTTATTTTACTGTTTATTTTTAGGTGGTATGTCCAGTATGATTGGGCTGCCTTCAGATCGTGCTCTCACTGACGACGATGAATGCTTGAGGTTCTTCTCTTTCATTCAAACCTATTCTACTTTCACCTAAATTTTCTACACCACTGTAAAATGATGGCATTTCTGGTCTCTTAAGTAGAATTTTAAGAATGAAATCAATTGGTTTGGCTAGAGTAGAAAACTTCCTTAAAAGTTAAACTTTCCAACCTGGCAACCACCGAGATCCAACCAATAGAGAGAAAATTAGCTGATTGTTACTCTTTATCTGCTCAACTGAAGTGGATTACTTTGAACTCGTAGGTGGATCAAAGAGTACGCCAACAACCAGAATGTGTTCTTTGAAGATTTCAAGAAGGCTTATATCAAGCTAGTAAATTCTGGTGCAAAGTGGAAAAGCTAGCAAACAACCTATTCCACAAGTATACACACTAAAGCAAGGTTTAGCTGCTATTTATAATTGGCTTCCGCACATGTTATCTGCGTTTTCGGCACCTTGATCCATTGTTGGTAGGTTGAAAGTGCACGGCGAAGCCAAAGTTGCAATGAAGATGAAGCCTTAAATGCATCATGCCCCCATCACCGTCCAATTAGCTCTCTGAAGCTTTTGTCTCTTGTTGGCCCAAAAATTGGATTTATCTTATCATGAAGATAATATTATAATTACTTGCAAGTTATTCTGCAGGCTAGACAAGTATAGCAGTTTGTTTAACTTGACAGAACTCTCCTTAAGCTTCATTGAAGTTACAAATTCAAAATATAGTAAGTAAAGAAGGTTTATTTCTTAATGCATCTCAATGTTGCAAGGTTGACAAGTTTGATGCATATTAGTTCGAGCCTTTGAGATTCCGCAGGTAAAAACTTTACAATCCAGTTTCTGAATGTGTTCATATTTCTAATGTAACATTTTTTTAATTTCTAAGATTAGATGTCTTATTTCTTCAGAATGCTATCACTATTAACCTCTTTAAATGAATATTTGGGAGATTTCCCCTCTTATCAGAGTGCATGTTCCATAGACCAAAACCAAAAGGAAGAAAAATTTCAAGCTTACAGGAAACAGAAACCAACGCCAAACATATATCATTGCATTGCCCAGATCATTACAAATAAAAACATAACGCAAGTTCTCATTTATTAATAATATAGCATATGAAACTTACAAGTTACAACACAAATGATAGGCTGATCTGTCAGTCATTACATACAACTTAGTCGCAGAAAGCAGAGTTCCTTAAAAATCGGTACCTGAAAAACCAAGGCCTGGTATGAACTAAAAAACAATCCCTTGCGAACAAGAAGATTGTGGTGGCAGACTTGTATAACCCGCTGCCACAACCAAGGCCCCATGAGTAATACGGCACCAAATACTGGAACTGCTAACAGCAACCAGGAAGACGATTCAACTAGGCAATCATAAGCCCACCCTTTGAGGAAAATAAAAATCCAAACGCTACTGAAACAAACACGCTGAAACATGACTCGGGAATTGGCACCTGAGAAAATCCTCACCCATGCATAGCACAACACAAGTGGGACAAAAAACCGAGATACTGATTACCCGAATAAACACAGAGAACTTAGTAACGTTGGATCCGGAAACTGGAAAGCTCAGGGAAGGCTGGCCATCTATCAAAGTGGGAGACATCTCATGAGAGAGCCAAAACACTTAAAAAACAGACCCCATTCAAGGGAAATCTGTAAAAAAAGAGAGAATGACCATATCCCCTGGAAAATGGAACCAACCAGGTTACTAGATGACGAAGACCCATACCCATGGACCCAAAAACTACAGTCTACTGATAATGCCCCGATAATTTTTTTAAAGCTACCTGCTTAAGATGGATTCCTCCATCTGTTATCACTTTTTGGCTAATTCTGGAATAGAGCTTTCCTGCTGCTGCTCAGTAAAGGATATCGCAACGATGGAGCTGAGCCAAAAGAAGCTCAACACTCCTAGTGCTGACTGAATTGCACTGCTGAAGATTCAAGCCCAAAAGGGAGTCGCCCAATCTTGCAAGAGCAGGCAAGCTCTTGTCAGTTAAGGCAGGACACCCGAACACAGAAAGGATCTGTAGGTTGAACTGGTTAGCTCGTGCAAGGGCTGCAATCCCAAAATCAGTGATACGGCACTTGGACATGTCAAGATCATTGAGCAATTGACAGTTCTCCGCAACTGCCACTAAGCTTGCATCAGAGACCTTCGAACAACCACCAAGGTTGAGCAATTCAAGAGTCCAACCATGAAGCTCGGCCAAGGACGAAATCACTTTGTCGGTTAGGTTCACGCAACCACTTAGATTGACCTTTACCAATCCTGCCTCACAGTTTTTAAGCATTGGTAATAGCCCAGAATCTGTAATACCATTCAGCCCAGTTAAGTTCACATGCTGCAGCTTGGGGCACAGCTTGCCCAGCAGAGTTAAGCTTGCATTACCAAACCCAGGGCAATTGCAGATGGATATTGATTGCAAGGACTTGCACGGGGGCAATGAAGGCAAGTTCAGACTCAAATCCTTGATCCCTAAGCAGTTAACTAGAGAAAGAATCTTCAATTTTGCACCACAGTTTAGGAGGGTACCAAATAAACCCAGCTGGGTTATCCTATGGCACTCTTCTAATTGCAAGTTCTCAATAGAGGCTGCAGCCTGAGCAAAAGAGACCATTCCATTGTCGGATAAAAACGAACACTTGCGGAGGCAGAATTTCCTCAAGTTTGGGCATCCCTTTCCAATGGATTGTAGCCCAACATCGGTCACACCATGGCAAGATGTAAGTGTAAATGATCTCAACTTTTGCAAACCATGACCATTGCCCATGACCCAAAATCCTCTCTCAGTAACATTTGTGAGGCCAGTAAGCATAAGGTCCGTAACTGCCTTTCCGTAGTGTCCGATGACAGCAAGCGACACATCAGTGACATTTAAACCCTGGAGCTTCACCTTGTTTAAGGTGTAAGAGGTGGAAGACAACAAGCTTGATATTCCTTGATCCCCAATAAGAGGGCAGTCTTTGACTGAAATAGACTTCAAATTGGAACAATACTGCCCAAGAGCTTGAAGGCTTTCGTTACCAATGTTTGCGCAAGACTCCATTGTTATATCAGTCAGATTAGGGCAATTTTTGGCAAGCTCCAGCAGTGCCTTGTTCGAAATTCCAGGACATTCACATAAATCAAGCTTCTCTAGGAGGTGACATCCCTTGGCAATTTCAATCAGACCTTCATCTCCTATAGAGAACAGATTCCACAAAGAAATAGCTTTAAGGGAAGGACATCCGTGGGAAACTGCCTTAAGGCCAAGGTTTGTAACCTCAGAGCCATGATTGCTGCCACGAATTGACAGCTTCCCCAAGCCACCACAACTAGCATTTCCTACTGCTATGGCAGCTAGTCTAACATCCGTTGCCTTCTTCCCCTCCAAGTTTCGAGAAAGATATCCATCGCTCTCGGGTTGGTTATCAGCCTCGATTCCAGTCGAAACAGTCTTAGGCTTCAAATTTTCGGAAGTGCTGCAAAATTCATTTCCACTTATGCTGCTTAGAAGCATGAGCCAGCGTTTAGAAACACAAGCACAGAGGCTCCTCGTCTCTCTATCAGGCAGGCGTCTGAAGATCTCAAAGAGGCACTCGTCTGGAAGAACTTCAATAGATGTCTCCTTCTTTTTGAGTATTTCTCCACTAGGCACAAATGGGGCGCTGACTCGTGACCTCTTGCGGAGAGGATAATAAACATCCACATGGCGACCAAGGGACAAAAAGAGATTAGCATCCTTGGGGTTTGGATAGATCGCTGCCCCAGGGAAAAAATCTTCACTCTCTGTGACTGCAAGAACAAGGAAAAAAAATTAGTTGCAAATTGAAGCAACTGTACCACCACTAGATCGCACCAAAAAGAAAAAAAGAAAATCCATTAAAAATCTGATAGAAGGCAGATCAAATCATCATTTTTCTGCTTAGTACAACACCACATAGTTTTTCAGATAAGAAAAAACCACATAGTTTTAGTCTGATACTAGAAAAAAAAGCAACATATGGTGGTTTATAACACTACTATACTAATAATCATTCCAACCAAGAAATCTACTATAAAGATTATCATCAAAGCCACAGCTTATGTTCTCGTTATCGAGCTAGCTCGAAAATCCGCAAAAGAATTGGAATAAACAGCTCAAAAGCAGGAGTCTTCGCCATAAACATCAAATTTCATGAAATTAAACTCTTTAAGACAATTGATTTAAAACCGTAAAACCGTATATCTCTAAGATCTACAAGTTACAACATAGAGACATAAAATTTCACAACCCAAACATCTAACTCCCCAGAAAAAGGAGCCAAAGCATATCACCAAACGCTTTCAAAAGTAAGATCCAAAGTACAAATATCAAAAGAAGCCATACAAACGATCTGATCAAACGACCGCCAAACAACTGAAGGGTAAATTAAACCTCTACATCCGATCTATAAGTTATCATCTAAAACCATAAAAATCAAGACAACCCAACAAACATATTCAATCAAAATCAAGATTTCAAAAGGGAAGGGGAAAAAACAAACAGATCCAGAGTTAAAGAAAACTCACGAGTAAAACCAAAGATCTTAGACATGGGTACCGCTTGACGAAACCCAAAAATTGAACTGTCGGTAGCACGCCACCAAAAAACCCTCCAAAGAGAGCAAAAAAGAGAGGCACAACACAGGTGAAGACGGCGATCACCAAGTTTTCAGATGAAGAGAGCTGATGCATGAGGCGAATGGATGCTAAATTTTCATGGAAACCCTATCAGATAGGGGAAAAAAAAAGGAAACAAAAGAGAAGAAGAAGAAGAAGAAGGTATGGAGAAAAATGAAAGGTAGAGAATGAACCAAAGAGAGGTCTTATTGACTATTGAGAATTGAGGAAGGTTTTGGTACATCACAATACACGCTAACAAAACCCAGATGCAATGTATTTGCTCCAATATGGTGGGCCCTTCCTTGGTTATATTCTCCCACCTAATCAAATCAATAAAACCATACACTGCCTTTTCTGTTTTCCTTTTCTTCACCCTGTTTGGATGCTCACTTATCCTATCCTTGCATATTCTGCACAGGATTACAGCATGTTTGGACACAGGCTTTTCTTACCCTTGCTAGTTTCCCCAAAAGATATTCTTCGTTTTCAACATGGTCCAAACTATGACATAAACTTTTATCGGAGGGCCATGATATTCAGTAATTATTTCGGTCCATCTCAGCATAATTTAATTAGTTAAGTATGTATTTCGGATCAAAAAGTCATGTGTTCGAATTTTACTCTATAAATAATAATTTGATTTTAATTTTTAGTTTTTTAAGATTATTCTATTTTGGTTATCGAGCTTTCAGATTTATTCTATTAAGTAGTTGGTCTTGACTTTTATTATGCTTTCAACAAACTCAAGTCCTCAAAGTTGGAGGTGAGTATAATTTAGGTGGAGAACCACGAAAATAGTTTTTTTTTTTTTAATTTTAAGAACTAAAATTAAACATTTTCAGTGTTTAGTGACAAAATTGTGATTAAATCAATTTTTATTTATCAATTTAACGTTGATATTTCAACAAATTTTAGGGCAAGACGCTTTTTATTATTATTATTTTTTAATCAATTTCAACGTGAAGTTTAACTCTTTGGTTCAAGTCATTGGCATTATTAATTGAAAAATAAGTAGTACTGTTCATCAGACACACATCTTTGACTCAATTGCAAGCAATTGAAAGTTAACAAATTTTAGAATCCATACCCATTGCATGGTAGCTTATCTCATTAAAGTTAGGTTTGGCAGAAAATGACATTGGAAATAAAAAAAAAAATTAATGTGCGATTTATAAGAATTGTTTCATTTACAACAATTGTTTGATAAGAACTATGGTTCAAATAAGAAATTGTGCAATATTTGTTAATCATTATAATTTTTTTCATACTCTTCGTAACCCATAATTCTTTTGTAATATTTATTTCTAAAAACGCTTAAAATATTTTTCTCAAATTAAAATAATTATTTGAAAGAAAAAATTACCATTTAATTATATTTTCTTGGTTCTTATATCTTAAGATCCATTTCGAATCCAACATTGTATCCACGTTTTTGCTTGTGTCATTCTTAATTTTCTTATATTAATTTATCATTCGCGTTTGAAATTCTTTTCTACTTTCTCGTTTATTATATAAATCAAATTTTTTATCCTTCATTTAGGGTAGAAATGGTTTCCCTCATTTTAAAGCAATTGCAACTTGTCTGATAGTGGTATGTGAATGAAAGAATTCTCATATCTTTTTTATTAAAAAATCTAGTAGAGAAAGATACACAATCCTAAAGCAATTTTTTTTTTTTTTGAGATGTGATAATTTCAATTCATAAAAAGCAATGATAACCACACACACACACACACAACTTGTTATAAATAATAGAATAAGTTGGGTGCAAGATCCACCACTTGGTGTATTTTCATTTTTTTTTCTTTAAAAAAAGACCAAATTGAATAATGCTTGAGAATTGGGGGAGGAACCCTATCTTCATTTGAAAATCAAGTCTCAAAAGTATTGTCAATTGAAGGGCCATCCAATTAACCAATCAGTGAGCTCAACTAATATAACAAAAACTATATATTTGTATATACATTATGGTAATTAAAGTAATTTGTTGAAATTTAATAAAATAATAAGAAAATAATACAAGTAATTGATAACAAATCTCTATATTAAATTTTCTTGGAATCAATTAAATCGCAAAATAAACAAAGAAAATTCATTAAATTCGAAAAAAAATCTTTTTAAAAGACATAAGAAAAAATCAAATTAAATTATTATTAACAATCACAATATGTGTGGGTTTGGTTTCGGATGTTTTTTAACCTCTTTATTATAACCAATAACCTTCATGCTTTTGGTCGAGTCACATGTTTATTTACAAATTTGGAATGTTTTAATAATACAAACATCACAATCTAACCATGATAAACAAGCCAAAACAATAGACTAATTTGAGTTGGAAGGTAATGTGATGATTAATAAGATTGAGGATTTTTGGGTATTGAGTTTGAGCCTTTGACTGTCCCACCCATTAATGGATTCTTTTTGCTAAGTTCATTGGTCTGAATCCAAAAGGCTTTAATATTGGGGAATTCTCTGTATCATTCCAACTCCCTTTTCATCATTTTCTTTCCTCCTTTTGACCAAACTTTCCCTTCTTTTGCTTTCTTTCTTCTCTCTTTCCCTCGAGAAAAGCATGCTGCAATAATCCAATAACACCACCCCCACTTACAAATTAACATGGTATAATGATTCACAACTCAATACACATCATTGAAAAAAACAGTTTTTCTTCATGGCTTAAGAGTTCAAATCTCATTAATGGATAAAATTAAACCCATGACCCTATACAGATAAGAGAGATTATTCAGTCTGAATTATTTGATCGTATTAGATAGAATTTTATGTGACATATAGATTCTTTTTTTAGCTTCAATAAAGAAGGGAGGAGATTCAAAATTTCTAACATTTAATTAGATTGGTATATAATATCTTGACTAGTTAATCTATGCTCATGTTGGTATATGACATGTAGATTGGAGTAACATTCATGTGATCAATAAATTTTTAATATTGGACTCATAACTAAAATACGAAGATAAAATTAAAATTTTTTGACAAAGTAAAACGAAATTGACATAGAAGTACATGAATTAAATGAATAATTTGGCCTCAAATATATCAGGTAGAACTTTGTTTATTGTTTGGGTTATCTTTATAAATGCACTGTTATTATATAATTTACACGATTTCATTTTTTAAAAATTGTTCTAAAATAAAGATTTAATTTTTTAAAAAGAGGATTTCACAAATATTTCCAATTTAATAAATAGATAGACCACAGCCATCTACACTTGATTATATTAAAAGGTAGAATTGTCTTTGTACATAATTTAAAACTGAAAAGTTAAGCCTAGTTGAATTAAAAAATTAAATAAAGGCCCCCATAATAAATTTTGTTTAATTAGTGCATAATTAAATCATAAGAAATTGAGGAATTGGGGAATGTGCATGCATGCTCATATCTTTCATTTGACCATTTGGAAATGATAGATAGAACCATAGATTAATCCTAATTAATTAATTAATTAAATTGCAACTTGCTGCCAGGTAAACATCCTTGAGTGCCAACTTTATATGAAATTTAATTA